ATCTGGGCAGAAAAGGCACCTAATACAGCCTTGAAGATCCTGATTATATGAGCTGATTACAGCTCTTATTGCAAGCTGTCAGTCTCACAAAGAAAGCAGCCAAGTAGTACCAAAGCTGTAAGTTCCTCTGTTATTAGTTGTGTTAGTTGGGTTTTTTTTAAGAATTACAGTATTCATGCCTACATACAATTTGCTATTAGGAAATAATCAGAGTTTTAGAAATCATTATAAGTATTTGCAGTAAGTTTGTAAAGCCAGTTGCACTTTGCAAATCTGAACTAATTCAACACAGATCACAAGCTCTCCTTTTTCTGCTGATGTGCAGAAAACCTTTGCTTTAGGCTGTGAGCTGCCCGTCAAGTAAAAGTGAACGTTTCCCACAGACCACCACGACACACCTGTGTGGGGGAGACTGAGGACAGACTACAGAATTGACAAGAACATGAGGTCAGATCTCTTCACTTTCATATGCAATCTTAATTAAGGAACTGTGTTTCCTTTTCTGAGGATTATCATTCACCAGGGAAACACGCAGCAGTGCTCAGATGCAGTCATGGGATACAAGTACTCAGAAACTCTCTCTTCCCATTGCTGTAGCCCAAATAAAATACAAATACTGTAACTACACATTAACTGTTTAAAAAAGGGTTTTTAAACACGTAAGAATTTGTTTAGACAATGTCTTTTGGTCAAAAAATACAGGCCATGCCACTGAGGCCTGTAATTTTCAAAAAGGTAGGGCAATTCTGTGCTTTTTGTTTGTACAGCTACGGCCCCTTTTTTTTTCAGAGCACTTAACTCATTGCCCCTTTAAATTATGTGACAGACACTGCCATTCAAAAAAAGTCTGTGGATCAATGCTGTATTCTGACACTTGGCATCAGCCTGTACAGTTATCAATGTAACATTTTGAAGGGCAGCATATCAGCTGTGTTAACTATTTAAAAGATAATCAATGATTCTTTCCAGCAACCACAGGACTGATAGGATAGGCATATTCTTCCAACCAGTATTTGCTCGAAACACTGATTATGCAAGTTATAATTGAAGTTGTTACGAGTAGCTTATTAGTACCACCACAGCCCCAGAGAGTGATTAATGCAGATTGCAGCTTGCACAGGAAGGGTAAACACACTCAGGGGAGGGAGGAAGGGAGAGCTCAAAGCAGGAAAAAAAAGTGGCTGTGCAAAGAGGGTATGTTCAGATAGCGAGGACTACCTTGGAAATAAATCGCTTTACAGTTTATTGCTCTGTCTTTCTCCTGAAAACACTAGGAACATTCACGTTCTAGCGTGACACGTGAGAAGGCTGGGCACGAAGCGCACCCGAACAAAGCAGCCGCTCTCCCCGGCCCTGGGGGGCTGCGGAGCTGCCCGCAGCGACCACCGCAAGAGACGTTTTAGGACCCCGCAGACGGGGGGAACATCGGAACAGAAAAAAACAGGAGAACCAAATCCCGGGGCGAGGCAGCCCCGCCGCTCAGGGATGAGTGTGGGGTGGGCACGGCCCGGCGGCACCGGACCCCACCGGCACCGCTCGGAGCGGCGCCCGGCCGGGACCGCCCCGCCTGCGGCACCGGGGCAGCGCCTGTCCGGCCGCTCCCGGCGGGCTGTCCCGGCGCTGCAGGGCTGCGGCTCGGGGGGCCCTGACGTGAGGGGGCGGCGGCGCGGGGCCCCGGGAGCACAACCGGCCCCGGTGGGGCTGAGCACCAGCGCGGTGGCCACGGACGAACCCCGCCGCCCGCTCCGTCGCCCGAGCCGTGCCGAGCCCCGCGCCGCCCCCGCCGCCGCTCCCCCGCAGCCCGGGCGGACGGGAAGAGCTTCGGTCCAATTCACTCACCTCCGCGGCGCCGAGCGGCTCTGCCTCCACCGCATCACTTCCGGGCGAGCGCTCAGCTGGCGGACACGCCGTGACGCGCCGTGACGTGCCGTGATGTACCGTGGCGTACCGTGCGAGGGGCGGTGCGCGCGACGCCGCACGCACGGTGAGGGCAGGGAAGGCGGCGGCTCGCGCCTCCCGCGCCCACCGGAGAGGGGGCACGCGGCGGGGCGGGGCCGCGGCACGACCGCACCAAGGTAAAGCGGGGAGGGGGAGGAAGGCGGGCGTACACGCGGGGAGGGCGGAGGGAGAGGAGAGGCCGGAGGGGCGTGCGATGGGCCTACCCCCCCCCTCTGCTTCGCGCGTTGGTTCCGCCCAGCTGCGGGGGTAGGGCCGCCCCATCCGCCAGGGGGCGCAAGGACGCCCCCACCGGCACCGCCCCCTAGTGGCCGCGAGGCTCCAGGCTGGGGGGGGCGGCAGCGCCATCTTGACAGTGACAGTGGCCGTGGGGCAGCGCTCTGTGACTCACAGTGCTCGGTGCCCACAGTGGTGTGTGACCCACAGCACTCCGAGCCCACAGTGCTCGGTGCCCACAGCACTCAATGTGCACAGCCCTCGGTGCCCACAGCGCTCATTGACCTACAGTGCTCAGTGCCCACAGCACTCATCGACCCACAACGTTCACTGCCCGCAGCCATCAGTGCCCACAGCTCTCCGAGCCCACATGGCTCAGTGCCCACAGCAGGACAAGGCAGCGTCTTAAGCTGCACCAAGGGAGGTTTAGGTTGGACATGAGGAAGAACATTACAGAAAGGGTGATTAGACACGGGAACGGGTTGCCCAGTTTGGTGGTGCAGTCGCCGTCCCTGGAGGTGGTAAAGAAGACCGGACGGGGCACTCAGTGCCATGGGCTGGTTGCCAAGGTGGTGTTTGGTCACAGACTGGACTCAATGGCCTCTTTCTAACTCGGCTGATTCTGTGACCCACAGCCCTCCATGCCCATAGCCCTGCTATGGTTCTCAAATAGCAACTAAAAATCATGTCTATCAATGAGTTTCACTGAGTGACCCTCAGAATTAAGTAAGAAAAGGGTCAGGGAGGATTTTGTCTCTGGTAGCATTAATATTTATACCTGTTCTCGAGCTTGGGAGTGTTTCCAATGCTGGGAAATATTCCTATTCATGCATTCAGTTGCATTTGGCTGGAAGCCAAAGTATGAATAAGGTGCATAAATCTATACTGGAGCTTGTGTCCATGTTGTTATATTTCTGTATGCTTCTATATTATATAAGCAAGGCCATCCAAGGATAGCTGAGAATTCATTTTCTCTGCTAAATTTCTCAGTCTGCATTAAAATCTTTCTCTGCTTGTAAGTAATAGAGACCTAAACACACGGGGAAGAAAATGATATTCAAGCATGAACAACAGAGTTGGACAAGACTAGAGACAAGTTCATATTGCTTTAGAGTTTACCTGGACACTATGCTTTTCATGAGAAAGCTAAGAAATAAGTAAAGCAATTTTTTTTGTTTCCCTTGCTCTTTCCCAAGTCTAAGTCAGCATTTCTGTTCTTACTGAGGCTCCTGCAGCACAGGAGGCCACTCCCAGGGCAAGTCTCTATGTCCTACTAAAACCAGATAGTGCCTCAACCACCTCAGACTAAGAGATTTAAAACCCAGTGATAAAAAGGAACTAGTTAAGAGTTTCCACTTTCATTTATTCAAGTGAAAAGAATGTTGTAGAACCTTAATTTTGTGTGAATTGGCTTATTTGAACTGACATAGGAAACGGTGATAAAATCCATGTCCTTGCTTTTACTTTTTAATTATATTCTCTTTGCATGCAGTTTGCTTTTTCTGATCAAAAGACTGCTCCATATGCAAGAGCAAGCTTAAAAGAGGTCTGAGTTCAGTCAGATATCTGAGGCACAGATAGAAGAGCAGAGTTCCCATCCCAGTTGATGAACAATGTGAGTACAATAACTTAGGGAGTCTGGTTCAGAGGTTTCAGGGTTTCAGATCTCTTCAGTTTGCCAGCAGAAAGACACTGGCATGACAAAATTCTAAATTCTGTGAAAGTCACCCTACTTTTAGACACCATTATAGAATATATTGGTTCAGTAACTTCATTCTTTTTCACCAAATCTGCATATATTTATGATTGCAGCTTGTAGATGGAAAGAGTGAGAAATAAATCTTTGAGTCAAATTGATGGGAATGTCTGGAAATTTACAGGCTTGTGTCAGTGGTAGAAATGAGGATGTAACACCATCATGGAAGAACATGATCTTTCATTCTAGTCATTTTTCACCACATGGAGATGGAATACTTTAGCTGTGATTCAGGTTTTGCTAGGAATTGGTTTTCTCTGAATCTTAAAAAAAGCAATGAATGTTCAATAAAGAATGAAAATCAAATGAAGTTTTCACTTCACCAGTACATACTGCAGCCACACGTGGTCAGTGTTTGCAGGGTACTGTCACAGGCCACTGAGTCATTGATTTGACTAAAAGAAGACAAAATTACTTTTGTGAAAACTAGATTTTGAAACTTAATATTGCTGGAAGGCATGTGACCTACCCAGCTATCACAGGAATCTGTGACCCCTTCTCTGCCCCCTGTACCACAGGAACTCATTGTCTGAGTTGTTGTCCCTCAAGGAAATGACAGCCCAAATCCACTGCTGTCTTAGGAACCACAGAATCATTTTGGCAGACTTGCATGAAAGATGAATATGGATTACTGACCTCTTGTTGCTGTGGAGAGCTCTGAAAGGAATGATTGATTATCTGCTGCATTAGCAGCAGGAGAGAGACTGCAGATCACTTTTTAGCTAAGTGGCATCATTTAGCTCCTTTAAAAAACCCCAGATACGTAAATTTCTCTGCATCTCTTTAAATAAATATTAGCCAAAGAGTGCATTTGAAAATGGGAGCTATAGATTGGCATACAGGCTGGATGGTCTTATGGGCAGCTAGTATGGAACATGGTGCTGTTCCCTACTACAGCGTTGATACACCATGGTCTTGAATTACATCATTTACCTCAGTAACAGAGATGTGACCACAGCTTAATTTGGAAGGCAGTCAGCCCAGCAGTTTGTCATTGTGTCTTTAGATTCCTTGCCAGTAGCAAACCAGCTGTTAAATAGAAGTTGTGTTGCTCTTAAATAAAACATTTTACATCTGAGAAATTCAGAGCTGCCTTTTCAAATTATTTCATGCAGGGTTTTGTTCTCCACCTCCCCTAAGCAAATCTAGTTTCAGCACCAGCACTAGGTGTGTGTTACTAAAGCATGCCCCAGTTAGCTGGGATGTGAAAGAAGAGATCAATTGTTTTAAAATATCCTTTTTTCCCCATGGGCTCTTCCTTTCACCCTTTATTTTCTAAAATCATCTATGTACTCACTGCTGGCAGATTTTATGCTTAAAGTGAGTAGCTAATGCTTGACTCGAGAAGAAAGGATGAAATAAAATAGACTTACAACTTCACCAAAGGAGCTGTGCAGAGGAGGAGAGTGCTGGACATGCGTTCCCAGCGAAGCATCCCCTACTGGGAAGTACCTGTGGTTTAGCTGCTCCTGGATCTGCAGCCAGTCTTGGTGCAGCCTGTCTTCTGCCTTAGCTGTGCTTTGACACTACACTGGTGGAGTCATTGTACAGCGCAGTTGGCAGATTCCTTTTATGATTTTTATGTGAAGTTATAGTTTAAATTCTAGACAAGCCTGCAAAATAGCAAAATAAGACTAGTATTGCATTGATTATTTAGATTTTTGAACTTTTGGGTCAACCATCTAACAATCCAAAGGAATGTGTATTTGTTTCCTGAAAGAAAGACCTACTGTGCTTTATAGTCTAAGGGACTATTTGTTTTAATTAACAGTGAAAAAAATGTGCACGTTCACCATGCAGTAAGTGATTAACTGCTCAAATCTCCTTTGGAGTTTGGATACAATGGGATGTTTCAGGTGTTGATAAGAGGGGGTTGCATGGAGACCGAGGCAGCGTTACAGCTCTGCCCCAGCATCCAGCAGGGCTTGTTTGGGAGGCCACGCTTGGCTTCCCTCCAGAGCCCGCAGCCCGACAGTGGGCTCCCAACTGCGACCTCCTGCTTTTCCCCGCTGACACGGCTGTGCGGATACACCTACCTTTGACCTCTCCTGGTTTGCTTTGTGGCAGTAAACACCCGAAATTTGCTCAGCTAATACAATAGCCCTGTACTTTTTGACAGAAACGCCTGTGGTTAACCTCTGTGGGCTGCATGCTGCAGTAAAATGAAGGGTGGTAGAAGTTAAACAATGGGTGTGACTACCACAAGATGGGTGTTAGTGGGAAAGTGGTGTAACATCCACTTAGCATTCCAGAGATGTGAAATATAATTATGATTTAAATGCCGAAGATGTAAGTTGCAAGATGAGTAACTCCAAGGACATGAAAGCCTCCCTTATCTTCCTTTCTATCCCACTCAGAATCATTTTGCACACCCACAAAACTAATACAAGTAGTGTCACTTGATGAAATTACACCTGATACATGACTTGTACCATCACTTACATTTCTGTCAGTGTGGGCTCTGTTTATACCAAAGGAAAAATTCCAATCTCATTTACAACATTTAAAGTTGGAAGTAATTTTGTTCTCAGTGGAATTACTCCCTATTTATACTCCTACTCAGATCAGAATCTGACCCAGGCTTTGAATTTTGTCTTATTTGTTCTCATCCTTTCCTGTCATAGACAGAAGTCCTCAATCTGTGAAGGGCTCCTCATACCTTCATTTATGTGTCTTTGCAGAAATGGCTTATGAACAGGTCTGTAACGTTAAGAATTATTGACTGAGCCCTGTGAGCAGCTGGTTGCTGAGTATACATGAATAGCTGCTTAATGTCTTTTACATCATCCAGCATATGTGGGAAGGAGAGCAAGAATGCAGAAGTGCAGCCCATGCCTAGATGAGGGGCTACACAGTTCTGTAGCAATTGCAGCATAGAGAAGTTAAAGAACAAAAGAGTAAGTTGTACCTGGGGGACTGGAAGTGGGATAAATAGTTGTTGGTTCTGGACTTTTCAATAAAATCTTTATAAACAGATTCTTGGTATGTTGAAAATCCAAGGGCAGCAGGTGTAGTCACTTCTGAACAAAGGACATGTGCTGTCTCAAGCTGTCACCTTGGAAATTGTCTGATGCATAGATCGGGATTGAAACTTGTATTTTAAACACTTTTACCCCTAGCATTGTTCCTTTTATTTTCTTTATGGATTACGTGAAAACCTAAGCTGTTATCAGCTTCTCAGAGGTGACACCTTCAGGTAAAAGCAGATGGGGTACTCAGGAGAGGCTCTAGGTGAGGCTAGGATTTGGGACTCTGCTTGTGCTGGGTTAACCCTTGAAACGGAATTGTTTCTTTTCTGCACAAAATACACACCTAGCAGGGGGAAGCAGTGACTTTTCAGATACATGTACATCTGTGCCTTCATGTCTGACTGATATCACTGCCTGAAATGGAGCTCTAGAGTGGATAAAGTGAAGCATTTACTCCAAAGTGTTTGATGAGGTGAGACTACCTAGTTATATTATTGTGGAATTTATTTCCTAGAAATACCATAAACATTTACTAGAAGTACTTTCTACTGTGTAGGAAGAATAAATTTCTATCTGGGGGGAAATATATGATTGGTTAAACATGTTAAAATATAAATAGCAAACCAAAAATATTCGTTCTTAAGAATCAGAGAAAAATAGTTCTTGAAACCACAAAAGGTCTTTAGATCACAGTAACGGTTAAGATAAGTCTAGTAATTTATAGTTTAGAATTTCTTATGAAAAAGAACCATGAGCCAAATCCTGCATTCAGGTTAGCATCTGTAATTCCAGCTTTGGTGAGGGAAAGAGGGTGTGTGTGTCTGGAGCCACAGGAGGCTGGTTCTGATCAGCTACTGTGCTGGAGGCAGCAGCACAAGAACAGTACAGCCTGAGAAGCCTTTGGCTGAAGACCCTCTTTTACAACCCAGAATCCCAGAAATTGCCACAGGCTGCAGGGATTTGAGCCATAGCACACTGCCAAACTTCCCATGGTAGTTTGAGTGCTGCATTAGGAAGCATTTCTAGCAGTTTGGAAGCTGGTAGTTAAGAAGCTGCATTAGGTGCTGTATTTCCTCACGGCCAAGAGAGTGCTCCCTCCAGAGGGAAGGTCAGGCTGTCTGAATTACTGTGTCCAGACTGTCCATTCCCAGCACACAGGTCTGATTTCAGGGTAGATTCACCTACAGTAATTAGAGCTGCAGGTTGGCAAATGGATCCTGATAGCCAGATAATGTCCTGTCCCTGACACTTTTTCCTCATTGCCTTCATTTACTTCCTTGGCAGTGCTGCTGCACCTTCCTTTGGGACAGTAAGGTGCCTTTGACAGCTGCAGTGCCCCTTAAGCAGAAGTCATTGTTTCTGTTAATTTAACCCATGGCAGAAATATTGTTATCCAGAAGTGGATTTGTCTCAGGGATATTTGTGGTCTGTCATGAAATAGTGTAATACCTATATGATAAAATATTAATTTACATAAAGCAAGAGTAAGATTTCATTCTTTCTTCTGACAAATAGTCTTAGCACACCTGGAGGCTGATTCAGTGGGCTCAGCAGGTACACAGGTCTCTGAAAATCAAGACATTCAGGACTTTCCTAAATCCACAGTTAGTCTGCCTCTCCTGAGTGCTTAGATAAAATACCTTTCATCACCTTTTCATCACATCAAACTCCAGCTGAATCATTACTGCCTACTGTCATGGTATCTCAAATAAGCCTCTCAGCCCCTGGAGCCTATACAAGTTTTCAGCAATATTGTGGTGGTTTTATCATGTATTTCATTCACAGATTTGCAAAGATAGGGTCAGCATTGGTACAACAATGTCTCAGGAAGGGGGACGTGTAGAGTTTCGGTGACTTGCCCAATGTCTGTTGCAAAACATCAGTGAAACAGAACCCAGGCATTCTTGTACCAGTCTTGATTCAGCAAAGCACTAAACCAACTGCTTAACTTTGAGCAAGAGCTCAAGCTGTTTGAATGGAGATAGATTTAAGTATCTATATAAGTACTTTGCTGGACTGAGTCTTCAGCTTTCAACAGCTAATTATTGTTTACAGCTATTTCAGGGTTTTTTCATATAGCTCAGCATATCTTTGGATGGCAGAAATATTTTTATACTAATTTAATGGTGTGAAAAAATGTCCTGCTTGCTGGCCTTTTGGCAACTCAAATGTTCATGCATATGTTGGGGGATTTGTCTTGTCTTTGTAGATGACACTAGCAACTCGACAAGAAGTTCTTGGCCTTTACCGCAAGGTTTTGCAAATAGCCAAGAACTGGCAGTCGGCATCAGGGCAGATAGAGGAAACCATGAGAGAGAAAGAGTACATTAGAAATGAAGCCAGAACATTATTCCGAAAAAACAAAAACGTGAGTGTCCTCATGGTGTTGAATTTCTGAATTACTCTCCTCTTGCTTTTTGCACTCCATAGTTGGATGCTAAGATAGGAATATAAAGGTTGAGTTCCCAAAATTTCATTCACCTTAAATGCTGTTGTATTTGGGTTACAGTTTAAATATCGTCCTTGAGAAAACTCAAACCATTTCAGCTCTTCATTAACTACTGTAGAAGTCTAAAAGGTCTTTTTTCAGTAAAAAAAGTGCCAAGAAAAAATTAAATTCCAAAGATACTGCTTGTGTAATTGAAGCAGCTTTTGATCTTTACAAAGTTAGCTAAGTGTATCATTACCCATGCAATGGCAAACAGAGCTCAGCAGCTTCTTTTTTTCTTTTCAAAGCAGCAATTATTGGCACTTCTTTTAAAAGAAGCACTTTAATTTTTTTCTTAAGGAAGACATTTCAAACCCTGGTAATCAAAGGCCCTTCTTGTAATTCAAGATCACAACACTTTTTTATATCCTATAGTGGTCTGGGGCTAAATTGAAGTAATGCAAAATTAAAAAAAAATTAAGTCATAATTCATACCACATTTCTGACTTCAAAGAGTTTCTGGATAGGTTGGTAACAGAATGTACACCAAGCAGTGTCTTTTCCACTGGTGACCTTGCAGAGTGATGAACAGGTGAGCATGGTTTTTCCATTGATGTAGTAGTAGTTTATATGTGTATTGACTTTTTACAGAGAAAATACCATGTTTGGCTGTAGCCTCAGTCCTGACAGTCTTTGGGCCTTAACATTCAGCACCATCAAGCCCAGAACTGCTGAGTTGAGGAAAATACCAATGTTACCTTTTATGGATGTGCACAATACAATCATTGTATCCTTGGCTTTGCCAAAATAAGCTAAGGAAAGCCACATGCTCTACATCATTTACACTTGAGCTTCCAATTGCTAATTACTGTACTCATATAAAACACTTGTTTGTCTGATCATTACAGGTAACAGATCCAGAGCTGATTAAGCAGTGCATAGAAGAATGTGAGGCAAGAATAGAAATTGGACTTCATTATAACATCCCCTACCCGAGACCTGTGAGTAGAAATCACAAAGTCTTCACTGATACCTGCTGAGCTTTCCCTGTACAACAAAACCATCAGTTCCCATCACTCTCACTGCACTGCATTTTTAAATGAGCTGGCATTTAAATGTTTGCTAAACCAGAGCCAAATCTACATTGAGATGTTCTCTATCTTTCACTGTAAAATGGAGGATTTCTTCTCAAAATAAGGAGTCAAAGCCTAAATGGAGTTGTATGAACTCAACTCCCAAGGCCTCTGAATATTTAGCTGACCAGTGAATATAGAAAAACATGGTAATGGAATCAAATAATAGAAGAGAATGAGAGAACAAAAATACCTAATTACATATGCCATAGGTACAATAATTTTTATAGCTTACATTACTGTTAACTTTCTACAGAAGAACATGTCCAAGATTACTGAAATGCTGGAAGTTGCAGCAAAGTCTTCTAGTGCATCATTCAATACAGTTTCCTCACTACCCAGTCACTTCTGTCAGTAATAGTTTAGGCTGCCTCCCATAGAGACATCCTCTCTACTCCTGTTGATGAGTTTATATTTACACATCTATAGTTTCCTTATCAAGGCAGTCCTGGTCAAAATTAAGTAGTATGATTATCAGATGCTTTCCTAGACTATGGTCACTGTTACCATCTGTTTCAGTATATAGAATAACAATTCACAGCTGGCAAACAATGTTCCTAGAAATGGGCCTAAAATGCATGCTCTGCAGTGGTTTCAAAATTCCAAAGGATCTGCTCTCTCAGACAAACTGGATGATTATTATTTTTCAGATTCTAGAAATCTCTACTGCTGCTTTAGTCAGTGCTTTTACTACTATTTGCACCTAAACACCCATCTTACAGGATGACAGCCTCAGCAACAGTAACACCTGACTGCTACCACCTACATTTTTCAGTCATTTAGGGGGGTTACAGCTGCTTGATTCCCACTAACAGTCTTATGAAATATAAAGACTTTGTCAATCAAAGGAAGAGTCTGTCACCTATTGCTCCTTCTGCTTATGGAGTCAATGACATTGATCGTGCATTTTAATGTGCCATATATATAATCATGACAGTAAGAAGGCAGGCTTTCAATACATACAGTTTGGGGTTATTTTGTGACTTGTTAGATAGGTATGAATAAATCACACAGTGATTCAAGACATCTACTCAAGAATTTTTAGGGTTTCTAGTTCTTACTGTTCTGGAACATTTTCAGCAATCCTATTTCATCAGGTGTCATTGCAGTCTGATATCAAACTGCAAAACTAAGTTACTAAGGCCTAGCTTATGTAGGATTTTAATAAACAGAAAAATTAGGGCCTGAAAGTTATACCACTAATCACTCCTCAGAGAGTGGTCCTCCTAGAAATCTAATAACCTGGCTTGAGACAATAGAGTTACCCTCTCCAAAGTGTGAAGAAATGGTTTATAATTCAGTGAAACTTAGTCTGCAATTTTCTTCCCAATATGCACCTAACTGGTGGGATTTTCTTTTCCAGATCCATCTGCCTCCTATGGGCCTTGCCCATAAACAAGGCCGTACATTGCGACACCAGGAAAAGTTAAGGAAGATTTCTAAGCCAATATACCTGAAATCCCATGATGAAGTTTCATAGGCCACCATTTAAGCTGTGATGTGTAATCACATCCTTTAAACTGTGAACTGCAATCCAGGTGATTTGTGTGCACGACTGTGAATGGTGTGGTCACTTGCTCACACATTTCCTGATGCCAAAAAGCCAATTGATCCATTGTGCATGATGGATAAGGTTGGTTTAGTATTTATTACATTTCAACCACTGACTTGTCAATAAAGGTAACACTTTTTAAGGACTGAGGAGTGATACAAAGTTTACTTTGACATCAGGACAAACTGCAGCAGGATTTCAAACTCTGTCTGTAATAGGGTTCTCTGTGCTCAGTTGTGACTCAAGACAGTGCCTTGTGTAAGGTCAGCCAAAATCCAAGAAGTCTGGGACAGTCAAGCACAGTTCCTCCAGAGCTTCTGAATGCCAGTAGGAATACAGTCACTGCACCTTGTACCTGCTCTCCTTCCTCTCTGCTCCCTGCTGTCCCTGGAGGAGAATTCCAGTTTCACAATACCCTTATGGGGAAGTTTAGTTTCTGGACAGTAGAAAAGAGCAGTAGTGCCACTACTCCTTTTCCTTTAGGCAAACTGCAGAGGAGTGGCCTAGAGTCCCTATGTCAGCTTTTTTCTCCCTTCCTTTGGAGAGGGTGTGGATGTGAAATGCAAAGTTTGGAATGCTATTACACAAGTCTGAGTAAAACATTCCAGTGTTGGGTTCCTCAAGTTCCCATGTATGGACTGGATGAAAACTATGCCTTTAGGATATCACTATGGGAACAAGCTTAGGATGCTTTGGTGTCCTCACTGGCTGTTTTCAGATGGTCAGCTTTTCAGCATAATCAGAACACTGGCTTTCTCAACTATTATTTTAATTTTAGTGCTGGGTTTTAACTCTTATGGACAGAACCCTAAATTTAATAAAAGAAAGTATCTACAAGTCTCTTAAGTTTAAGGGGTATTTCTGTTTCCCAGGTGCCTCATGAATAGAAGTAAAATGAAATTAATTTTCCTTTCACGGGCTACCAGTTGTTTTGGCTCCTTTGCAGTCCTCTGACTTTAGCAGGCTATTGACATGTTCTTTTCAGGGAAGTTAGGGGAGCCTTCCATCCTTTAGGCTGAAAATACCAGTGAGACCAAACTTGGACAAGAGCCACACTGTGTTGTACACTACCTAAGACAGTCCACAGCACTTCAAGGACAACCTATTCCAGCCTGACATTAACAGTGGCAAAATAAAGCAAATTTGAAACATGCATGTGTGTATGATTTCCTTTTGAAGTGGATGAAATCAGTGAAATCTAATTTCTGAGCTTGCCAAGTCATTCCAAACCCTCCAAGCTCTAATAAACAATGACAAAGAAATATTGCTGTCTACCTGAAAAGTTAGAACTGGTCCTGTGCAGAACAGACTGACAGTCCCTCCCCCAAGAATGCACTTTTAAGAGTGAATAAAGTACAAGCAGATGAGAAAGTATAAGAAAACAATAAGAAGAGTGAATCAGCATGACAGGTACTGGCTGGCCCAATTTCTCACTAACTTTTATGGTTCCACTCCACAAAGGTCTCTATTCCCATATAATTATTTCCTGGGAATGCCTCATGTGGGGAATAACAGGTAAAATGCCATTGTTCTGTCAATGGAAGCTTTGCAAATTTACTTCTGCCAGGAAGACACGAAACAAAACTCCTTTAGCCTAGGAAAAGAGGGATTGCACTGGAAAAGCAGGGAAAAAAAATTAACATGATTGCACACACTGCTCAATTCTTCATTGAAAGAAGTCTAAATACAGGCTTCCCATCCTAATTCTGATACACCTGTGTAGGGATGCGTCAGCTGAGCCCAACCAAAATGTGCAGAGGCAAGGGGTTTGAATGGAAGCTTAAGCTCACTTTTGTCATTAAACTGTCATTTGAATCTTTTAAATTGCTGAAGTTCATGTGACTAATGAAGGTACTGATGCTCTGACGCATCAGGTGAATAAACAGCCATGGAAATGAGCAGTCTAAATTTACTGTCTGTTCTATAGTCACAACTCTTTCCTAAGCACATACTGTAAGATGTAGATTATTTCTAAAGAACGGCCCTAAAATCACAGAAGATTTACACCAAATAAGATAACAACAGGAGTTTGAGTTTACTTTTGAAGGAAAATACAAAGAAGCAATTTTAAGAAGGTTCAAATACCCTCAAGTCACTCAGATGAGTATCCACTTGCTTAACTGAGAAACCAGCAAGAACCAGCATCACATTATTTGAGATGCCTTAAAATGCTACACAGCCTAATCATTCTTCAAAGTGTTGAAAAATTATTAACTAGTGCTTCATCCTCATTACTCTCCATCACCAGAAGGCAAAGAAATTTGTTAAAACTTCAGACTGTTCAGCTAAAAGAAGGATGAGATCAGCTCTTTTTTCAAGTCTAGAGAGCAAACCCTTTCTTTCATAGCTTAAGGTAAAGTCAGTATGGAAAGGAGAATCTAACTAGAGTCCTTTGTTTTTGGAGGTCAAACTGGCAAACTTCCATTTTGAGGGAGTTTCATTAAAAAAATTCATCTGCAACTCAGTTCAGCAAATAGGCTGACATCTCAGCTGGTACTCTTGTATTAGATGCCAAGGCCCTTAGAACGTCTGTCAAGAAGTATCCCAATGATTGCACAATATGTCATTCCTACACATTAATTTTACTTGCAAAAACAGGTTGTCCTAAAATGCTTCTGCTTTCTGCAGAATTTGTAATGCACTGGATTCACCCAGTCAGTGTACACTCTGTCCTGTACTTGCTGAACCTTCTTTTACTCCCTTTCCAGTAAATACTGTCATTTTCAAATTTATCACCCTAGTCAGGAGCTGCTTTAGAATAATTTAGAAGAATATGATGGCATTAACTTTATATTCTTCAGAAATAAAAGTCCTGAGTCAGTTGTATGAACTCTCCTGCAAGCCAATTGCAAGGCAGTAATAATTTGTTGACACAGTAATCTGGCCTTGAATACCTAAATAACACCTCCTTTCTGGAAGTTCTGTCCCTAAATCCATCATTAGTAAGGTTGTAGTTTATGGAGCTGTGCATTTCTAACATTAGCAAGCATACAACCTTTTAAGAAGATGGACGTGGCAGCTGCTTACTGAATGTCCCCCTCCATAGCCTGGGGTGAGGAAATGCTCATTTTGCTGCAGCAGTGCCCCAGTTGATTCCCAGGGCAGCTTCACAGCACCAAAACAGGTTAAGACAGATTAGGTTACCTGATCCACCTTCCTACTTACACAGGCTGCTTCTTGTAATACCTTTCAGATGTGAAGAAAATGAGGCAAGCTGGACCTCACTGTCCTGGGCCCTACTGTGTATCCATCAGAAATGGTACCAGCAACGTCCATCTTTTATCCACAGACAGAAAGGTCACTTATTTGATCATACCTAGGTACTCATTTTCAAGAACGCTAATTAGAACAGACACCTGCAACTTTCACTAGTAACTCTAATCCTATTAGGCACAATATTCTAGGTATAAGTGGAAGAATTTGGGATCTTTGTATTGTCTTCTGCTTTTTCACTGTATAACTTTCCCTTTAAGAGCCCAACAGTGTTAAAATTCACAAGGGTAGTACTTTCAAAAAGAATTTTTGTACATATAAGAGGAAGGTTTCAGTCTCCTAAGAAAATGTACAAACCCTGTCTTACAGCATCCCTAGCTGGAAATCTGTCTCTGCTAAGAGAAAAATACCTCTTGTTCCATTAATGCATTTCTTTCCATCTGCCTTGAGTTATTACCAAGGCTGTAAACTTACAATTTGAAATAATTACAAGTGGGTTTTGTGGCTTATTTAATGAGTGTTAATTAAGAAATAAAAATTCTAAACCTGTCAATCCAAGGATTATAATACTACTGTTACAAGATATTTTGTCCAAAAATTTTTCATGTTTCTATCATGTCCAAGTAGCAGCTGAGATACCTTTTTCTTTTTTCTAAATGCATCTGAGCCAAGAAAGATTGTGAATTCTAATGTTTGGCCAGTTTATCATTCTCCAGGAAGGTCTAGACAATGCTAAGAAAATAAGGTTGGGAAGCTCATTTCAAAGAACCACAGAAAAATTATCTCTAAGACAGATATCCCTTGACAGTAAATTCCATTACTTTTTCTGTACTAGGGAGGGCAGCCTAGGAAATCATGTACTGCAGTAATCATCAGCTAAAGCAAGTCAGCCATGCCTGATCCCTGGTGAAGGGGATGCACAGACCCTCTTACAAATTCTCTTTTATCTATATATTTTTTTATCATGTCTACAAAAGCTTAAAATACATCCTTAATTATATTCTCAAGAGATGCCTTCATATCAAATCTAAACATCAGCACAAAGGAAGCATTTAGAAAATCAACACAGTAACAACGACATGGCACACATGTCATAGCAAAGTCACTGTATACTCACAAGACCCACAACTATGTCAATTAATAAATTATCAATTACTGTTTGTTCACAAAAAAGGGTTAACAAGCAACTCACATGGCAAACTATTACACAGATTTCGAACAGTTTAAAAGTAATTGATCTCCATAAAATATAATTTAGGTAATGAATCTGACTTTTAAAAAATGGATTAATTTAGAGGACTGTTTGCAAGATCAGCATTATCTGTAAGAGAATTGATAAACCTTCATTTCAGAGTTAATTGTTGTTGGCCCAGCCTCCCTTTCAGCAGGTGAGGTGTCACCAGTGCCTTGAAACAGAAGCTACATCTGAGTAGAAAGATCCTCCTGAGAGCAGAGACTGAGCTGATCAATCCAGAGGGAAGGATTTTACAGCCACGTCCTGCCCCTTTGGCCAGAGCTTCCATACAAAGAGGCTCATGACTGGTTTGTTATCTCTGATGCCACAGTGACCTAATTTGTGATCTGAATTGTTGATGCAATTACAACAACAACAACTAGATGCAGGTATTCAAAAATACAGTAATCACCACAATGTTTTTTTAAATGTTCAGTAAATTTCTATTAACTTTAATTATATGAGAACTACAAAGTATCTCTCTTATGAAGTCTAAGAAAATAATTTTTTCAAGGACCAATTTTAATTAATTTATTTATAGATCTACTGAAACATGATTCTCTTCTTAAAAGTTGTTGTCTGCTTGGATGAGTGTGCTGTAACATTCATAAACAAGTTTTATTTTGGTATAGGTGCCAAATATCATTTAGTCTAATTTGTTAAGAGTAGTTTCTTCCTCTCAGTAATTTGAAACACCTGCACATCTCTGTCCCTTTTATTAAAACAAACATCCTTTAGGTGTCCTGGCCTGACATCTTTGCTCTACTCACCACACAGCAATGATACACCAAATGCTGCACTGTTAATGAGGTGTCAGGTGTGGCACATGAAGCTCCTGTGTTTACCTGTGCTGTTCATCTTCCTGCAGAGCAGCACTGCACAACACCCCCAACACTTCTGCCTGACCTTGCAGTACCATTCTTAACAGTTACTATTTTATGAATATCTGCATAAAACAAACCAGTGGTTAATAAAACAATAATGAACTGTTTTGACCTAAGCACAACACAACAGACAAATTCCTATGACAAGAACTGTGTCTTTTAAGGAGTTGTTGCAACATCTCTTAATGCTTGGAGCAGGATACTGGGAATTGCTAAATGATGGCTGAATCTCTGACTTCATGAGGCCTCCAGCAAGTCATTAAAATGCTGCAATTTGGGCAATGAAAAAAAATACAAGACCCCAAATTAGTGGATGTCTGTGTAGTGCATGTTTTTTTAAATGTTTGCCTTGATCTTTGTGCCTCTCTTGTACTGTGTACACAAGTCTAATGATGCATCTTTAGTACCTTCTTGGCATGCTGTGGGGATTAGTTAATGACTGCACAGCTCTTTGAAGATGTTCAGGCTATTTTATTTTTAATTAATGTTTGCAAGCTACTTTGAGCTTCTCTGATGAAAGGGCTTAAACAAGTACAAAATTTCAGGCAGTTATTAGTCCAACATGCAAGAGAGCAAGATGAGGAAGTGTGCTAGGTTTAGTCAATTAACTGGTGTAGAGTCAATTTTCCTCACACTGGCTGGTATGGGGCTGTGTTTTGGATTGTGCTGAACACGGGGTTGATAATACAGAGATGTTTTTGTTATTGCTGAGCAGGGACTGCACAGAGCCAAGGCCTTTTCTGCTGTACTTACTGCCAGGCTAGGGAGGAAGTTGGGGGTGCTTGGGAGGGTGGGAGGAGACACAGCCAGGACAGTTGACCC